TAGTGAATGCAGGGTCTGGGGGGACCGGGTATAGAATGCAGGGTCCGGGGAAACCGGATAAGTGGGAATGCGGGGCCCGGGAACCAGATAATGAAGCAGGTCCTGGGGGACTAGATATAGTAAATGCAGGGTCCGGGTGGACCAGATATAGGGTAATGCAGATTCGGGGAACCGATATAGTGAATGCAGGCCTGGGGGACCGATATAGTGAATGCACAGAAGCGTCCGGGGAGACCAGATAAAGGAATGCATGTCCTGGGAGACCAGATATAGTTGGAATGCAGCGTCCGGGGAGACCAGTATATAGGGAAGCAGGGCCACGGGGAGACCAGATAAAGTGAATGCATGTGTCCCGGGGAGAACCGGATAATAGTGGAATGCAGGGTCCGTGGGAGACCGGATCTAGATGACTTGCAGGGTCCAGGGAGACCAGATGATAATGAATGCAAGGTCCGTGGAGATACCAGATATAGTGAATGCAGGATCCCGGGAGACCCAGATATAGTGAAAGCATGTAACGGGGATACATAGTCAGGTTGAAAAAAGTCACAAGTCTATCAAGTGCAACCAATAGATGACCGAAGATGCTTCCAGAAGGTAAAAAAAATACATTCCTTCCTGAACCAGTAAAAGGCAATTGGATATTCCCTGGATCAACAATCTCTGGGTTAGAGTCTCTGTCCAGGTTTTTTTATATTTTGGTTCCATCGAAAGATTTCCCAGTACTTTATTTCTCAGAGACACAACAGGAAGTGAGAGGAAATATCTCCAGAGTGAGAGTCGGTTGTCACCAGAGCAGATGTCCAGCATTTTTTTCCATTACTATAGGATGAAATGTGGAAGGGTTAGAGCCTCCTTCAGGTTGTTATTGCTCTCTGTGTCCCTGCTGGGAAGAATCACTCTCTCCATTTGCCTTGGTGACCATTGTCACAGAGACAGAATGTGTTGGAAAATCCAAAATGTTACAGTTGTCACCAGAATAGGCACCCCATTTATTCCTGTTCTGGTGACAACTATAAAATGTTGGATTTCCCATCACATTCTGACAATGCATAGATTAGAAACAAATGCCGCTCTATAGATAAACGTAACCACTTTGCGCCGGCGCCTTCCAGCCTTTTAAGAGTTTCAGAAGGCGGGAGGGGCGGGGTTTTAGCATTCATGATAGACCGAAGAGGGGATAGCCTGCGATTAGGTAGGCCAATGAAGGAATTATACAGGTTGAGATTTTTATCAGCCGGAAACTTAAATGAACCAGCTGAGGTTAGAAGCTGATTGGCTACCATGCACAGGTGCACCAGATTCTGAGTGAACCATGGCCACCAAGAGATATAGAGAATGATTCTCCCCACGATGGACACAGACAATGAGAAACTGATAGAGGATCTAAATCTAACCCTTCATCCTAAAAAAAAAAACAAAAAAAAAAACAACTTTGGACTTTAGCTATATTATAATAATAGATAGCTTTTTTTTATAATTTTTTTAAAGAGTGGGAAGGATTAGAACCTATGCCAGTTTTTACAGACTGTCTATTTCTTCCCTGTGACACCCTTTCCCCTTTTTTCCAATCTTGGTGTCACAAAAAGAAAGAAAATCAGGTTCCTTAGACACGGGAAATCTATTTATAAAGCATTTGTTGGACAAACGTCACATACATTTGTGCAGGCTGCATACATTTGCACTGTCATTTCTGTAATAAATTAATTCCTATGATCGTCAGCTCAGTGAGACAAAATACCACATTTTGGCCCCTAGATGGTGCTAATGATCATAGGTATTAATCTATTACAGAAACGATGGTCATAATTAGTGCAGCCTGCGCGTGTGTGTGTGTCATTCATCCAACAATTGTATCATAAGACATGCTGGCCATAGACAGTTCAAAAATTGGCCGATTTTCGCACTGTTAATGGGTTAATTGGTCGGCCATTTTTCGGTTTTTTTTGCACAGTTTTTTTATCGGTCATGTTGGAACATTTGCGGCCAATTTTGACGATCGGCCGATTTTCCGAGCAATGATGGGCAAATCTGCTGATCGTTTTACGATATAAAAAATCCACGCATGAGCATGACTTGCAAGGGATAGAAGTTATGGGGTGAACTTTATGATTTAGACGGCCGATTTTTTTTTAGTGGTAACATTGGCCGAACAAACTACTGATTTTTCGGGGGGGGGGTTTTTTTTTCGAAAATTGGCCGATATTCGACCCGTCTATGGCCTGCATTTATTTATTATTTATTCATTTATTTATTTCAGGTACTTATATAGCGCCATCAATTTACGCAGCGCTTTACATATATATTGTACATTCACATCAGTCCCTAACCCTCAAGGGGCGTACAATCTAAGGTCCCTAACTCACATTCATATATACACATACTAGGGACAATTTAGACAAGATCCAAATAACCTACCAGCATGTCTTTGGAGTGTGGGAGGAAACCGGAGCACCCGGAGGAAACCCATGCAAGCACAGGGAGAACATGCAAACTCCATGCAGGAGGCGCCATGGTTGGGAATTGATTAGTGTGACATAAACCCCTTTGTGTCTCACCATATCCGAAATTAGAAAAAATGTTTTGGAATCAGGCATTAATAAGTACTCATGGCGTGTGGGATCTATAAGTTGTCTAATATATATATATATATATATATATATATATATATAATATTCATATCAGATCTCAGTAAATCATTTTTACATTAAAAATACATTGAAATGATCTGCAGTTGATATCTACAATCTGATATCTGCAAACTTTCAGAGCACTAAATGGGCGTATTTTATAAAAAAATTGCAAAGCTGTTGATCCATCAAAACTGCATGTACATTTGTTCTGAATGAATGGGACAAAATTGAATTTTCTCTGCAGTTCAAATGTGAGAATAAGGAAAATTCTGCAATATGACCACTAGATGGCACTGATTATTTTAGGAACTAAGTTTGCTCCTCACTGCCATCTAGTGCCCTAATGCAGTATTTCTTCATTTACACATTCAAACTACACAGACTATAGCCTGAGAACAATCAATTTTGTCGCATTTGCACAGAACAAATTTAAATGCAGTTTTTTGAAAAATAGAAAACATCCCAAAATCAATGATATCACTAAACTTGTCCAACAGAGGACAGAGAACGCTTTTCACTTTAACAGCAAGCAAGATGAAATATATGGAATGAGAAGGACTGAATAACTCATATAACCTTGTATTAATAATAATTTTTTTCTGCATCAACCTACAGTGATAAACAAGAAGGAGTGTAATGTTGCTCCATATGACAGAAGGGACTGCGGATATCCTGGCATCAGCCAGGCAGAGTGCAGCAAGAGGAAATGTTGCTTTAATTCCAGCATTCCCGAAGTGAACTGGTGCTTCTTCTCCAAGTCACAAGGTACAGTACAGCCCAGATGTACAGAGACTTTGGGGGAAGCCTCAAAAGAAAGAGTAAAAGAGGAGAGAAGCCACTCTAAAAATTTCCATTAGGAGATATGATGCATGTTACATAGTTACATAGTTAGTCTGGCTGAAAAAATACAAAATTCCATCCAGTTCAACCATAAAAAAAAAAAAAAATTATAATCCTATACCCACAGTTGATTCAGAGCAAGGCAAAAAAACCCAGCAAAGCACGATCCAATTTGCTCCTGCAGGGGAAAAAGTTATTTCCGGATCCCCCGAGAGGCAATCGGATATTCCCTGGATCAACTTTACCTATAAATGTTAGTATCCAGTTATATTCTGTGTATCTAAGAAAGAATCCAGGAATTTCTTAAAGCAATCCACTGAGCTGGCCAGAACCATTTCTTATGGGAGTCTATTCCACATTCTCACAGCTCTTACTGTGAAGAAACCTTTTCGTGTTTTGAGATTAAATTTCTTTTCCTCCAGACATAAAGAGTTCCCCCTTGTCCTCTGTGATGACCTCAGGGTGAATAACTCTACACCGAGTTCACTATATGAACCACTGATGTATTTATACATGGAGCTCATATCCCCCTTATGTATTATACATGTTGGCAGGGGCAGACTGACAACTCATGGGGCCCCCAGGCAATAGGGATCATAGGGGCCCCTATGTTCTTGCCCACACTCAAAAAAGCCCTATAAAAAGGTACCAGGGGCATTTCATGGGGCCCCCTACTGACCCCGGGCCCTCGGGCAGTGCCTGAGTGCTCAAAATGGTCAGTCCGCCCCTGCATGTTGATCATATCCCCCTTATGTATTATACATAGGAGATCATATCCCCCCTTATGTATTATACATGGAGATCATATCCCCCCGTATGTATTATATGTATCATATACATGACATGGAGATCATATCCCCCCTTATGTATTATACATGGAGATCATATCCCCCCTTATGTATTATACATGGAGATCATATCCCCCCCCCCCCTTATGTATTATACATGGAGATCATATCCCCCCTTATGTATTATACATGGAGATCATATCCCCCCTTATGTATTATACATGGAGATCATATCCCCCTTATGTATTATACATGGAGATCATATATCCCCCCCCTTATGTATTATACATGGAGATCATATCCCCCTTATGTATTATACATGGAGATCATATCCCCCCTTATGTATTATACATGGAGATCATATCCCCCCTTATGTATTATACATGGAGATCATATCCCCCCTTATGTATTATACATGGAGATCATATCCCCCCTTATGTATTATACATGGAGATCATATCCCCCTTATGTATTATACATGGAGATCATATCCCCCTTATGTATTATTATACATTGGAGATCATATCCCCCCTTATGTATTATACATGGAGATCATATCCCCCCCTTATGTATTATGTATTATACATGGAGATCATATCCCCCCTTATGTATTATACATGGAGATCATATCCCCCCTTATGTATTATACATGGAGATCATATCCCCCCCTTATGTATTATACTTATGGAGATCATATCCCCCTTATGTATTATACATGGAGATCATATCCCCCCCTTATGTATTATACATGGAGATCATATCCCCCCTTATGTATTATACATGGAGATCATATCCCCCTTATGTATTATACATGGAGATCATATATCCCCCTTATGTATTATACATGGAGATCATATCCCCCTTATGTATTATACATGGTGATCCCCCTTATGTATTATACATGGAGATCATATCCCCCCTTATGTATTATTATACATGGAGATCATATCCCCCCTTATGTATTATACATGGAGATCATATCCCCCTTATGTATTATACATGGAGATCATATCTGCCCCCTTATGTATTATACATGGAGATCCCCCTTATGTATACATGGAGATCCCCCCTTATGTATTATACATGGAGATCATATCCCCCTTATGTAATCTCATGGAGATCATATCCCCCTTATGAGAGAATACATGGAATCATATCCCTCTAATGTATTTCCTACATAGCATGATCCCTCCTGCCTCTTATCATGTTTGGATCATATGCCCCTCTGTACTTATACTCCATATCCCCCCAATGTATTTTTTGGAATTCCCCCCAAAACTGAACTGCATATTCCATATGAGGTCTTACTGTATTGTACGGGGGAATATCCCCCCTTATGTATTATACATGGAGTCTATACCCCTTATGTATTATACATGGAGATCATATCCCCCCTTATTTTGCTAACATGGAGAAATCCCCCTTAGCTTATCATTGCATCCCCCCATTATTAAGCTTGTGATCTATCATAACCCCCCTTAGTATTATTACATGGTCTCCATATCCCCCTTATGTATTATCCCCAGTTGTATCATATCCCCCTAGTATGTATTATGATGTGATCATGCATATTCTTAGCCCTTAATCTTTTCTCAAGTAGCTGAGCAGAACCTTACATTTATCAACATTAAAGTTTGGTTGCCCTTCTCTGTACTTTCTCCAATTACACAATGTTCTTTTTGAGGTCGGTGCCCAAAATTGGACTGCATTCCAGATGAGGTCTTACTAATGTTTTGTCCGGGGAAATGCACATCTCTCTTGGAGTCACCTCTCCAAAGACTGAAGAGAGGATTTTGCTCGCTTTAGAAACCGCAGCTTATCATTATAAATGCCATTAAAAAGTAAGGATCTATCAGAACCCCTGAACCTTGGGGTACACCACTGACCCCCAGTTGTACTATTCTAGTAGTATGATCATTAACTTAGCCCCCAAGTGCAGAACCTTACATTTATCCATCTTTTAGCCCATAGTTTTACACTTCCAATATGATAAATTACATATGGATTTATTACAACTGTAGCTTTTTACCTTACACATTAGCTGTGTGTGGGGGACTGTGTCAAACGCTTTTGCAAAATCCAAGTAAGGGTACCAACACTCACCGTACACCCACCCCAAACCTGTCCAAGTATGAATCATTCCACAGCCACCCCTCTGTCCAAGTATACCACGTCCACCGCCGGCTGTCCAATTGTCCAAGTTTACCACGCCCCACCGCCACCCCAATTAGTCCAAGTATACTGTGTCCAATGCTTTTGCCTCTGTCCAAGTATACCACGCCACCGCCACCCCTCTGTCCAAGTATACCACGTCCACGCCACCCTCTGTCCAAGTATACCACGCCCACCGCCACCCCTCTGTCCAAGTATACCACGTCCACCGCCACCCCTCTGTCCAAGTATACCACGTGCACCGCCACCCCTCTGTCCAAGTATACCACGTCCTCCGCCACCCCTCTGTCCAAGTACACCACGTCCACCGCCACCCCCCTGTCCAAGTATACCACGTCCACCGCCACCCCTCTGTCCAAGGTTTTGCTCACCTCCTCATAAAAAGAAATTAGATTTGTTTGAAAACTTCTGTCTTTCATGAATCCATGCTGTTTGTTGCTTAAAATATTTTTTTCCAGCAAGAACTCATCTATGTGGTGTTTTATTAAACTCTTCAGTATCTCCCCAACTATAGAATTTAAACTAACAGGTCTATAATTACTTGGTAAAGATTTTGACCCCTTTTTAAATATTGGCACCACATTGGCCTTACACCAATCCAGTGGTAATATGCCAGTCATTAAAAGAGTCCCTAAAAATTAGAAACAATGGCTTATAAATGACAGAGCTCAATTTTTAAGGACCCGTGGGTGTATGCCATCCGGTCCAGGTGCTTTATTCACCTTTATTCTGTCTAAATATTTTTGGATCATATCAGTTGTGAGCCAATGTGGATCATCTGGAGTTGTGTCAATACCACGCCCATTATGGACAAGAGCTCCCCCATGCTCCTTTGTATACACAGAGCTGAAGAAGGTATTTAATAAATTTGCCTTCTCTTTGTCCAAGTCACCCACTCTAGATTATTTTGTAAAGGGCCTACATGCTCGGACCGGACCTTTTTTACTATTAATATATTTGAAGAATTTTTTAGGGTTGGTCCTGTTATCTTTTGTAATCTGTCGTTCGTTTTCACTTTTTGCGGCCTTTATTTCCTTTTTACATATTCTGTTATATTCTTTGTAATGTTTAAACGATGATAGCGTTCCTTCATTTTTATACTTAATAAAAGCTCTTTTCTTTTATCTATAGCTTTTTTAACTTTGGCTACATAGGTTTGATTTTTAGCCTTTTAAACTTGCTGCCCATGGGAATATATTTTGCAGTGTGTTCACATACAGTCTTTTTGAAGAACCCCCATTTCTGTGTTGTGTTCATAAATGCCAATATCCCCTCCCAGTCTATGTCTTGGAGAGCAGCTTTCAGCTTTGGAAAATTAGCTCTCTTAAAATTGAGCATTTCTGTTTTTCCCGTATGTGCTTACAGCTAACAATAAATGAAATCATGTTATGGTATGTACATTCGTAATAAGCTTTTCATGGTTTGAGATTACCAGGTCCAGCGGAGCATCATTCCTAGTTGGGGCCTCTATGAATTGTACCTTAAAATTGTCCTGTAGTAGGTTTAAAAAATGTTTTCCCTTCAACTGTTCCTGCAGTACCATTAGTTTAGTCAATTTCCTGATAGTTAAAATCCCCCATTATTATCACTGTCCCAGCCCTTGAAGCCCTGTTGATCTGTGCAAGGAGCTGAGTCTCCACCTCCTCATTAACACTGGAAGGCCTATAAAAAAAAACTCCAATGATTACCTTTGTAGTACGCACCCCCATGTGCAGTTCCACCCATAATGCTTCAGCCTCATCACACTCCCCATCAACTAGATCCTCTTTTACATTCGCTCTGAGATCACTTCTCACATAGAGACAGACACCACCACCTTTCCTTTTTACCCTGTCTCTCCGAAAGAGAACATAGCCAGGAATATTAATAGCCCAGTCATTTGAAGAATGAAGCCAGGATTCAGCAATACCAATTAAATCCTAGTTCTCTTCATGCACCAAAGCTTCCAACTCACCTATTTTGCTTGGCAGACTTCTGGCATTGGTGAATAAACACTTTAATTCATTGACACCTTGTGCACACATATTTTGCATATTTTTTATTTTCATACAAATGGTACCAATTCCACTGGTTATTTGTAACATGGGAACCCTTCTCATCTGCCATCCCCCCATCTCCCCATTAGCCCAAATAAGTACTCCCCTGTCTGATCTGTCTCTCCTCCCCCACGATCCTAGTTTAAATACTCTACCAGCCTCCCCATAAACCCCTGCCCCAGCACAGCAGACCCCCTTCCATTTAGGTGCAATATATCTCTAGCATATAGGCTGCACCCCAATGAAAAGTTGGACCAGTGCTCTAGAAACCCAAATTCTTCCCTCTTACACCAGGTCTTTAGCCATGCATTGAGTTCCCCTAATCTCCCCTTGTCTTTCCTGAGTTGCGCATGGCACAGGTTATATTTTATCCTTGGAGGTCCATCCCTTCAAATTGCAACCTAGTTCTTTAAATTGATTCTTAAGGAGCCTCCACCTTCCATGTATTCTGTCATTGGTTCCAACATGGACCAAGACAGCTGGGTCATGCCCAGCCCCTCCCAGTAATTTATCAGCCCGGTCCACCACATGCCGAACCCTGGCACCAGGGAGATAGCAAACCATTCGGTTGAGGTGATTCTGGTACCACATTATTCTATCAGTCCTTCTGATTATAGAATCCCCTACTACCACCAGCTGTCTAGGCCTTCCTGCACTACCCTCACCACTCCTCCTAGATGGTCTGCCCTCCCGTTTGTTAGGGATAGCAATGACATCCAGGGCTGCCACCCCTGAGCTTGCTACCCCCGCATTTTCATCCAACTGGGCAAATCTGTTTGGGTGCTCACACCCAGGGCCAGCCTTCCTTTTCTGTGAGCCCCTATCACTCCCTCTCGTTACAGCAACCCATCTTTCTACCTGATAATCCTGATTAGCCCCTCTGCCCTCCACATCAATCTCATTAGCAACCTGTTGAGAGCAGAAGACCCTTTCAAGGTTGTCTGTTCTGCCCAGTGTTGCAACTTGCTCCTCCAGATCTCTAACATGAGTTTCCAGAAGGGCAACCCGCTCACATCTGTCGCAGTGGTATCCATCCTGGAGCTGTTGCTCCATTGCTGCATACATGCCACACACTATGCACTGCACAAAACCTCCCACCCTGCTAGCACACATTATCCCAGTTACAATATTAACCCCCCTAATGGTATTCCCGAGTGTAGCTCGGGGTAAAATTTCTGTACCAAAAGTGGTAACCCCGAGCTACACTCGGGCTTACCATGCGGCGCTGCATAGGGAGTCCCCTGCAGCACTTACCTTGTCCTTCGCTCCCACGATGTGTCCCCTGCAGCGTCCCCGGCCATCTCCTCTGGCTGATGCCGGCATCTGGCTCCTGTGTTCCGGTCCCTGTGGATGTACGGGCGCCGGCGGCAAATTTGAAAATTTAAAAAAAAATGTCATTTTTTTCAAAACGATTTTATATAGTAAAACATTGCTGTTTCAACCCATTTCACATACATTTTGTCCCGAGTGCTCTGTCATGTGCCCTGTCTGCATTTTTACTGTTCTTTCTGCCTGGAAACTTAGAAAAGTCCATGGCGTCCAAAAAGCGTCCCTTTTGGTCAAAAGCGGGTTTAGATCAGCTAGAGAACAGCGATAGCAAATGAGAACCACTTGCAGAATTGAGTGATAATGATTCGTGGGGAAATTCGTCATCAGACACTGAAAACAATTTTGCGACTTTGCTCAGTGATGTGCGAACTTGGCGCTCTATTTCAGATTTCAGTGTTTTTGGTTTGATTATATTATTGAATTAAATGTATTATTATTATATTAATATTTTTTATGATTATTTATTAAATTATAATTTATGATTTTGTGTTTCAATTTTATCATACCCGGGATGTTTACTAGACTCTTGTTCGGACAGATTTCAGTGAGTTATTCTTAAATATTACAGGCCTACAATAAAAAAACTACATATTTCCATGCAAAATAATGGTACCCGCTTTCAGCACCAAAAATCTGAAATAATCAGACCGTCAGGGAGGTTACTAGGAAATATCAGTTGTCACTTACAGGTTAGTAGACTCCTGTTATGATCTCCTGTTTTCCACTCCAGTTTTTTTTAACTCCACAGTCACACACATGTGATAGTCATGATCTGATGGTAGAGATGAGCGTAGGCACAACATGGCTCTATCTTATTCCCAATGACCTTAAGGACTTGCTCACACCAAGTGTGGCGCAGGAACTTTTACAAAATCATGCATTTTCCCACACAGTATGAAAACACGCTACCTTTGGTAGATACACTTGGGTGACATTAATTCCTAAAGGCACCCCAACATTTGTAGCAAATGGTGGTGAATTTGCTGCTGCCAGGACTGCCCTAAATGCATTGAGGTGGAACGTACAAAGAAGCCATGGACACACCTCATGGCGTGAATGAGCCTGAGAAGAAAAGTCATTTTACTAACCATGTTTCAAGTTAAACCCATATTTAATGTCACCCATATCTAAGGTGTTACATGGTCACAGTCTGTGCCCTCCAACAGCTCCCCCCCCCTCCCCCCCATTTACAGAATGTGGAGATTGTCTCCCCACTGATTCCTATCATTATTAAAATTGTGTGCACTGTGCATGGCACCGCCCACAATCTAAAGAGATTTGTCCTCACTTCCTGTTCTGCTGACATCAATTTTTACCAGACAGGAAGTAGGGTAAATTTCCACCAGCAACACAAATGAAAAAAAATGTTTTTTATTTCTAGCGTGGAAGAAAGCTAGGACTTATTTTTGTCTGTGTTTCTATTGCAGATTTTCCCTTACTTCCTGCCAGGTGAAATTGTTGTCAGCAAAACAGAAAGTGAGGGCAAATCTCTCTGGCGTCTCAGATAGCAATTAAACCCAATAAAAGTTCTAACCCTTCCCCACTCCTTCCACAACTGGAGTGATGGTGAAGCTGTACTAGCAGAAAAGCAAAGTTTATATACATATGAAAAGTGGGAGCCAAAGAAAGGATAGCTGACCTGTATGCCCAGATCTTGTGGTCAGCGTGGGACCTTGACACATACGATTGCAAATTTAAACAGTTACACACACTAACAGAAAGTGGCTTAAGGGCCTGTTCACATCAGAACGTTGTGCTGGAAATCCAGGTTCCATGTGAGTTTTCGGCACCACGGTCAAAACGCACTGCACTTGTGATCTGCAGTGAGTGGGTGTCAATGCAATGCGAACGACAACCAAAATCCAAGTCACAAATGCAAGGCATTTGCCTGCACTGGATCACATGGTACAGCAATGCCATGCAATTTGGATGCTGTACATTTTTTAAAGTAGTGCATGCACCACACCAGGCATAATAAGCCTGAGGGTGGGTGCGGCGGCAGTAAATAGACAGTATGATTGCAAATAGAGTTTGTGTTGAAGTCATATCCCAAAGATGAAAACAGCCCAGTGGGAGATCACCCAACTAAGAACATTCACAATTCTGTACAGTAATGCAGAGCAGAGCAGGTCATGTTCCAACCATATCTGTCTCTCTTAGGTTGGCCATGCTGTGCCCAATTAGGAGGATTCCTAGAAAAGATAGCATGTCCCTATCCTATCCCTACTCATGTGGAACCTTTCCCTGCAGCTATTCACTTTCCCTGACAGATGGTAACCTGTCCTGTCCACTCGCAAAATGCACTCCAAACCTAGGAGTCAAGTTCTTTTAATAGACTCTGTCCAAAGATGGTTGCCAGAGTCACATGGGGTGGCAACATCCAACTGGATCGCTTCCCCAGTGACCAAGGAAACCATAGAGGAGCAGGTTTTCTCCTGACTTCCTCTCCTCCTGCAATGCTGCTGTGGTTGCATGCCACCTTGAAGTTTCCATTATCTTAAAAGCCAGCTCCCATTATGAGTGCTTTCCTCAACATCCAGTAAATGGTGGGATTATTATGATGGGAGCTGTATATCTGGGCCTTCAGAATGTAAGGTGCTGCTTGTTTTGTTGACCCCAGTGCTGCAGTTCTTTTTCCACCTTCCTCTCCTCCTGGCCATTCACAAAATTAATTTGGGGCTGTGCATTTTTTGAATGGTCAGAAGAAGGAGGTGGTGCAGCTGAAGTCTGAGACCTGCAGAGCCTTACATCCTAGAGACCTAGAAGTGTAATTCTGGCATGTAACCAAGAAGATTATCTGGATGTTGGGAAAAGTGTTGTAGCACTACCCTCATAGGAGTTGCTGAGTTTTTGGGTCATCCTATAGTCCTGCACAGAAAGGAAAAATGCATTTTCCATTAAGACTTGCATCCAGGAGATAGTAACCAGTCCTTGAGTTTGTGTTTTGGATTTTATTAGGGGAATGAATTTGAATGGGGTAAGGGGTGTATGGGATGCCCAAGGGTATTGGCAACAGAAGACAAACTCCTTAGCAACTATGTACAAATCTTTACAGCAAAAATGTTTTTTCTGGAAAGCTAGCCAGCATCTCCTGTTATACCACCCCAGACCCCAGATGAATCCTCTCCTCATCCAGCTGTACTGGGTTCCCTGGGTAGGGGATCCAGTGTCTGCCACTGAAATGTGAAACAGTCCCGGGTAAGCAAGCTAATCCAGTTTCCCACTAGAGTACCTCTTTCCCCTTACTGGCCCAGGGGGTGCAGGTCCACCAGGTCTTCTAGCTGGGCTGCTCCTTCCCTGCTGCACAGGTGGTCCTCACTCTGGGGGCCGGTGAAGTCCTAAACTTTACTCCCTCTAAGGTCCTCTGCCTGTAGGCAAGCTCCTCTCCATCTGGGCCCCCTCCCAGGCTCCTGTTCTCCAGCCTCACTTCTCCATCTTCCACAAAAACTCTCCTGCTGCTGAGCAGGCTCTGTCACTTTTAAGAGCTGCCTTGGCCCCATGCCAAGCCTCCTGCTGGGGAATGGCCAGGAACCCTTAAGCGTGCAGAATAGCCACTTCTTACCTCCATCCACTGTTTCTAGAACTTTTTCTACAAAGTTCCAGTGCAGGGGGAAATCTGAGAGAGCCAATCTGCAGAGCCTCTCAGCCCTGACTGAAATTTGACCTCCCTCTGACTGTTGCACCAGGCTGCTATTCAGCCTCTAAAAACTGAAAGTTTAGCTCCCCCTAGCTACCTAGGAGGGTGCTACAGTGTTCATCACAGGGGTGGCTTTTGAGGCAATAGTGTCTTTATTACCTTTAACACTGGGAGGCTTATTGCGCCTGAAGTTGAGTTTTAAAGAGGGCGTTATGCCAAGCTAATGTCCTACCCACATTGCCTAAGTCCTGACCTTTTCTTTGCTGTGGATAGTTCAAAAAGTTGTAAAGCCTTTTAAAAAATGGGCAAACTATATGGATATGGAAAGGGCAGTTCATACATACAGTGGGGATCGAAAGTTTGGGCACCCCAGCTACAAATTTGTATTAATGTGCATAAAGAAGCCAAGGAAAGATGGAAAAATCTCCAAAAGGCATCAAATTACAGATTAGACATTCTTATAATATGTCAACAAAAGTTAGATTTTATTTCCATCATTTACACTTTCAAAATAACAGAAAACAAAAAAATGGCATCTGCAAAAGTTTTGGCACCCTGCAGAATTTATAGCATGCACTGCCCCCTGTGCAAAGCTGAGACCTGCCAGTGTCATGGATTGTTCTCAATCATCGTCTGGGAAGACCAGGTGATGTCAATCTCAAAGGTTTTAAAGGCCCAGACTCATCTGACCTTGCCCCAACAATCAGCACCATGGGTTCTTCTAAGCAGTTGTCTAGAAAACTGAAACTGAAAATAGTTGATGCTCACAAAGCTGGAGAAGGCTATAAGAAGATAGCAAAGCGTTTTCAGATGTCAATATCCTCTGTTCGGAATGTAATTAAGAAATGACAGTCATCAGGAACAGTGGAAGTCAAAGCAAGATCTGGAAGACCAAGAAAAATATCAGACAGAACAGCTCGCAGGATTGTGAGAAAAACAATTCAAAACCCACGTTTGACTGCACGATCCCTCTAGAAAGATCTGGCAGACACTGGAGTTGTGGTACACTATTCCACTATAAAGAGATACTTGTACAAATATGGTCTTCATGGAAGAGTCATCAGAAGAAAACCTCTTCTACGTCCTCACCACAAAAATCATCGTTTGAACTTTGCAAATGAACATATAGACAAGCCTGATGCATTTTGGAAACAAGTTCTGTGGACCGATGAGGTTAAAATTGAACGTTTTGGCCGGAATGAGCAAAGGTACGTTTGGAGAAGAAGGGGCACAGAATTTAATGAAAAGAACCTCTGTCCAACTGTTAAGCATGGGGTTGGATCAATCATGCTTTGGGGTTGTGTTGCAGCCAGTGGCACAGGGAACATCTCACGAGTAGAAGGAAAAATGGATTCAATAAAATTTCAGCAAATTTTGGATCGTAACTTGATGCCATCTGTGAAAAAGCTAAAGTTAAAGAGAGGATGGCTTCTACAAATGGATAATGATCCTAAACACACCTCGAAATCCACGGGGGATTACATCAAGAGGCGTAAACTGAAGGTTTTGCCATGGCCTTCACAATCTCCTGACCTCAACATAATTGAAAATCTATGGATAGACCTTAAAAGAGCAGTGCGTGACAGACAGCCCAGAAATCTCAAAGAACTGGAAGACTTTTGTAAGGAAGAATGGGCAAAGATACCTCAAACAAGAATTGAAAGACTCTTGGCTGGCTACAAAAAGCGTTTACAAGCTGTGATACTTGCCAAAGGGGGCAGTACAAGATATTAACTCTGCAGGGTGCCCAAACTTTTGCAGACACCATTTTTTTGTTTTCTGTTATTTTGAAAGTGTAAATGATGGAAATAAAATCTAACTTTTGTTGACATATTATAAGAATGTCTAATCTGTAATTTGATGCCTTTTGGAGATTTTTCCATCTTTCCTTGGCTTCTTTATGCACATTAATACAAATTTTTAGCTGGGGTGCCCAAACTTTCGATCCCCACTGTATACCTGAGTGTTCATTAATTACTAGTTAAGTATATTATAAATCACATTAATTACTACATTAAATACTAGTTTTCTGATGTTTTCTAGATGAACTACAATGCAGCATGAATGTCAAACAGCGGCAAGACTGTGGTCATCCTGGAATTAGTGCTAAGGAGTGTTATTCCCGCGGATGCTGTTTCGATTCGAGCATTCCCGAGGTGAAATGGTGCTTTTACCCAAAATTCAAAGGTATGGTGTTTGTTGTTAGTTTACTATGATTCAGTTATGAATGGACACAGGAGTGATCAGTACTGATTAATCATTGGGGTTGATTTACTAAATGCAAATAAACTGTGCACTTTGCAAAGTGCAGTTGCACTCTGCAAGTGCGGTTGCTCCAGAGCTTAGCAAAATGAGGTAAAGCTACACTTTGCAAAGAATACCCAATCATGTGCAAGGAAAATTTAAAAAGAAAAATGTGTTTACTTGCACATGATTGGATGCTGGAAATACTAAGACCTGGAGCAACTGCTATTGCAGAGTGCAACTGCACTTTGCAAAGTGCATAGCCTATTTGCCTTTGGTAAATCAACCCCTTTTCATTCATTCAGAAAAGGAAGGGGTCAGTGAATAAGGCGGGGTGGGGGAAGCCTGGGAAGCAGGGGCTTAGGCTTCATTAGACTGTGCCCCTCCCCCCTCCTTCCCGTACACACTTGTATGCTTAAAAGGGAAATATTTGAGTCTCTTTAAGATTTTTCCTGCTGTCTGTTTCCACTGGAAGGTAGTGGTGCACCGAAATGAAAATCCTGGTGCCGAAAACCGAAAATTCAAAATGCACTTGGCCGAAAACCAAAACCAAAACCGAAATGTGCAGTTTTTAAAAATGAATATATATTTTTTTGGAAAAAAATTCACTTTGATTAAAAAAAAACAAAGTAACTAGATACCCAACATGTGACGCTTTAAAATTGCGCACGCTCGTGGAATGGCATGAACCTGCGGTACTTAAAAATCTCAATGGGTGATGCTTTAAAAATTTAGCAGTGTAAAGTTACAGAGGAGGTCTAGTGCGAGAATTATTGTTCTTGCTCTGACGTTCGTGGTGATACCTCACATGTGTGGTTTGAACACCCTTTACATATGTGGGCATGGCCTATGTATGTGTTCACCACTACGTGTGAGCACGGGAGGACGGGGCACTTTAAACTTTTTTTTTAAATGTATTTAATTTTTGGGGTTTTTTTTGCACTGTCCCTTTAAAAATATTTTAATCACTTTTATTCTTATCAGAAGAAATGCATGCATCCCTTGTGATAGAAATAAATAGCGACAGGTCCTCTTTATGGAGAGATATGGGGTCAATAAGACCCCACATCTCTCCTCTGCAATGAAAAGCATTGGATAAAAAAAAAAGCATTCATCTAGTGCTTTAAGGGGAAAAAAGGGCGTAACCGGAAGTGACATCACTCCGGTCCTCCAAGGGCATAGAGATGAGTGGAGACCATCTTTCCTTCACTCATCTCTATGCCCAGCGCCAGGATCATTCAATGGTTTCTCAGGTAAGACTGAGAACTACTGAGTGGTGGTGAGGGTCAGGGTTTTTTACGGCACCTGTATCGGTGCTTTTTTTCGACCGACGGCCGAAAAGGGTGTTTTCAGCTAAAACATTTTGGACACAGAAATTTCGGTGCATCCCTACTGGAAAGGGCTCCCCTAATTTATTTTTTACAGCAATAAAAATGTTAGCCTATCAGAGGGATTTATTGATAAAGCAATAAAAACCTGACAAAGCCCCAACTCCTTCCCTATTCTCTTCTTCTCTTCCAAAAAAAGAAGTATATTTGTCAAGAATATGTTTTTTTTTAAGTACCCAGCCCTTTAGTGGGCAATTTGCCTGGGTTTTGGTATTTTAATATACAATAAATACATTGGTGTCTTGGTTTTATTGTACACAGGATGCAACGTCAGTCACAAACTGAGGAGGGACTGTGGATATCCCAATATCAGCTCCAAGGACTGTCTCTCCAAAGGCTGCTGCTTTGATTCCAGCATTCCTGAGACCATCTGGTGCTTCTACGGATACAAGTAATTCCACAGTGATATTCATTAAGAATTAATACCATTTTTTTTAAAAGTATACCTGTATTCATCATCTGGTTAAGTGAAGCTGAACGATAGGCAGATAATAAAACAAAAATCAATGCAGCTCTGTAATTACTAATACATTACATGCAAGCAGTGTAAGTTCCTACATTTTACCTGCAAACTCCTGAAATCCCCTATACTGCAAAGCTTGGAGACTGAAAGGAAAAAGCAGTACAAGGAGCCAATTAGTTTGTGGAGCTTTCTGATAGGAGGAGAGAGCAGAGTGACAGAGAGATGAACTCATCACACTGCTGCTTCTCCTTTTACTGTCCAATCAGAAGCTGGGGGTTCATGTTTGGGCCAAAAAAAAAGTAGATCGAATGATGATGGCTGGCAGACTAAAACACTAGATTTACAGTGAAACATCATATCAAGCTCTCCTCTCACACTGGCCAGCAATTCACAGCTGTCAAATGACAGCCGGGAGTTGCCATGAAAATACAACAGCTTCAAAAGTTACTGTTATAAACAAAACAGACTGTCTGACAGAGTGTTTATAAACATTGTTCAATGTGAGAAAGAGAGATACAATGTAACATTGCTGGTTTATTCATCTGCAGATCAAAGAGATGAGTTTCCATCTGTATATGATGTCAGTCAGTGCCGGGACAAAGGCATCCGGTGCCAAGAGCAAATTGCACCCCTCCCCCTTTCTTCAACATGGATAGCAGTTTCCATAATAATAACCCCGGGTGTCAGTTCCAGTTTATGCAATAATATTCCCCAGCATTGGTGCCAGTTTCCGCAATAATAACCCCCAGCACTAGTGTCAGTAGTAGCGTAATAACCCCCAGCATTAGTGTCAGTAGTAGCATAATAACCCCCAGCATCAGTGCCAGTTTATGCCATAATATCCCCCAGCATTGGTGCCAGTTTCCACAATAGTATCCCCCAGCATTAGTACCAGTTTCCATAATAATAACCCCCAGCAATAGTGTCAGTAGTAGCATAATAACCCCCAGCATCAGTGCCAGCTTATGCCATAATATCCCCCAGCATTGGTGCCAGTTTATGCCATAATATCCCCAGCATTGGTGCCAGGTCCCACAATAGTATCCCCCAGCATTGGTGCCAGTTCCCACAATAGTATCCCCCAGCATTAGTACCAGCTTCCACAATAATAACCCCCAGCATTAGTGTCAGTAGTAGCATAATAACCCCCAGCATCAGTGCCAGCTTATGTCCACAATATCCCCCAGCATTGGTGCCAGTTTCCACAATAGTATCCCCCAGCATTTAGTACCAGTTTCCACAATAATAACCCCAGCATTAGTGTACCAGTTTCCACAATAATAACCCCCAGCATTAGTGCCAGTTTCCACAATAATAACCCCAGCATTAGTACCAGTTCCCACAATAATAACCCCAACATTGTACCAGTGCCACAATTTCCACAATACAATAATACCCCCAGCATTAGTACCAGTTTCCACAATAATAACCCCCAGCATTAGTACCAGTTTCCACAATAATAACCCAGCATTAGTACCAGTTTCCACAATAATAAGCATTAGTACCAGTGTTTCCACAATAATAACCCCCAGCATTAGTACCAGTTTCCACAATAGTAACCCCCAGCATTAGTACCAGTTTCCACAATAATAACCCCAGCATTAGTGCCAGTTTCCACAATAATAACCCCAGCATTAGTGCCAGTTTCCACAATAATAACCCCAGCATTAGTAATAACCCCAGCATTTCCACAATAATAACCCAGCATTAGTGTCAGTAGCAGCATAATAACCCCCAGCATCAGTGCCAGTTTATGCAATAATAACCTCCAGCATTGGTGTCAGTAAAAACAATATTCACCCCCCAGCATTAGTGCTAATTTCTGCAATAATAATCCCAAGCATTGGTGTCCATAGCAGCAATAATAACTCCCAGCATAGGTGGTCAGTGATATTAACTATGCTACCAAACCTCTCCTAACCAGTTCCTGCTGAAAGTGCGCATATATGCAGCCTCTCGGTGGGTAGAGATTTTCCTGTGCTGATAGAATGCTCCCTGCTCCCTTTATGCACAGTACCCAGTGGGTATCGGAAAGGGGTTCACTAACACTGGCATTGGTGCCACTAATGAAGTACAAGAGGGGTTAATCGACTGCCACTGGTCACTAATGCATTAGTGACTAGTGGCAGTTGCAGCTCAATAACCACTGAGTGCTGCCCATTACTAATAGCATTATTAGTTAAACCCTTCCCCCCCCCTCCTCCAGGTCACTATAAAAGCTTAAAAGAACATTACGCCATCACTATATCCACAAGTAATGTTTAGGGCAATGTCCCAGCTTGCACCTGTTGTTAGGTTTTTTGCTCTCTTGCACCCATGCTCCTTCACAGCGCCAACACCTATCTATCTCCGGGCCTCTGAATGACGTCACTTCAGAGGCCCGGGACTGGAAATTATCTGTTGGGCAGAGGTCCAAGCTAGTGCTGGGTACAGGAGTGCACTCAGCTCAGTGCTGCAAGTGTACTGTGTGCACAGTGTGTCCTGGCTGGCCAGCAGCAGTGATCTTTTTACCGACTATGTATCTCCAACGGGCAAGGCTAGCCAGCACTGTCATCACTGAGTGTGCACTCTACCTGCAAAAACCCCCCCCCCCTCTACCCACCCCACCAGTAAATTGTTGCACCTTTTTGAGCTTCTACCCTGACCACAACCCCCTCCTTGTCCCATCAAGCTTATTAACCCTTGCTTTAGCTAATTAGCTTTAATTAACTTCTCCTTCCCCTTCACCCCTTAACTGTTATTCCCAATTACTTTTTTTTCTATATACACTATATTACCAAACGTATTGGTCGGCCGGCCTTTCCACGCACATTAACTTTAATGGCATCCCGGTCTTAGTCCATAGGGTTCAATATTGAGTAGGCCCCGCCCTTTGCAGCTATAACAGCTTCAACTCTTCTGGGAAGGCCGTCCACAAGGTTTAGGAGGGTGTCTATGGGAAGGTTTGACCATTCTTCCAGAAGCACATTTGTGAGGTCAGGCACTAATGTCGGGGGAGAAGGCCTGGCTCACAGTCTCCGCTTTAATTCACCCCAAAGGTGTTCTATCGGGTTGAGGTCAGGGCTCTGTGCAGGCCAGTCAAGTTCCTCCACCCCAAACTCTCTCATCCATGTCTTTATGG